TAGTCGGGGGAGGGAGGCTATGGGAGGGTGCCATCTGGGAAGTGGGTGTATAGTCGAATGAGATGGTTTGGGATGTTCTGTGCGATATACACACAAAAAATCAACAATTTTTAAAAAATGTATTATATTTGAGGAGGAAGCATAGAAATTTACGTCATGCTAATTTGTAGAGGTGATAAACAATACCATTGAAATCTACTCCATGACTTCATAGACATACACAGGCGCCAAGGATCCAAGTGCAACCGATTATGACTAGTAATAATCAGATGCATACAGATTACAGATGCAGGTGCCAACATCTCAATGTTGGTAGCAAAAACAGTGAGTCTTTCTGCAAGGAACAATATATTCTAAAATGAAATGGAGATCTTTTTTAAAGGTTAAAAATGCATCCAATTTTATGTCTTACAGGGCTTATACTGAGTTCAATAACATATAACTGTATTAATTCAGCTGTGAACCTAGAAACTTGCACCCACTTGTGAAAGAGATATACTGTTGCTCTGGAGTGTTTACTGAATATGTTAAAGCTGTAGTGAAAAGCTTCTTCTAATCGTGTAGTTATTAAAAATTAAAAAAAAAAATCTAGATTCTTAGATACTAACCCTAGGGTTCAGCTTGGGTAACAGTAAGAAAATAAGCCCGGGCTGTTTTCCCAGCACTTTTATAATAAAATAGTTTCTTTCTCTAATTTTAATGTTCAGAAGTTAAAATTCCAGTTAGAGCAATATACATATGCCTTAGCTAAAGTAATGATAGTTTTTAAGTATTTTTTAAGCTTTTAAAAAATATATTTATTTGTATGTGTGTATTGCCTGCATGTAGGTAAGTGTACCCATGTCGTGCAATGCCCACGTTGGTCAGAAGAGACTGTTGGATCCCCTGGGACTGGAGTTATGCACAGTTGGGTGCTGGGATTCGAACCCAGGTCTTCTGCAAGAACAGCCAGTGTTCTTAACCACTGAGCCATCTTTCCAGCCCCATAATGATAGTTTTGATGAACTCAAACTATTTGGTGGTCAGGAAAAGGAAGATATTTCTTAGATGATTATCGGGAGAGATTTCATGTCATATCAAAAGACTGGGAAATTTGAAGTTATTCTTTAGTAAAAGAAATGTTGATAACTAATATTTCAGAAGAGCATGCAAGATGTCTGGTAGTTAGTTCCTTGGTATGAATTGCTGAATTGAGAATGTCCCTTGGTTACATTTAATGTGGTTAACTCCTAAAATATTCAGGTTTTTCTCTTGTCGATTCTTAGAAATTCATTTCATACAGATTATCTCTTCTAAGTATCTTTTTTCTTGGATAATTAGGATTGAAAGGAGTAGTTGTATCTTTTCCTATGACTGTTAATGTAAAAATTCTGCCTTTCAGTTTGGGGCATTGAATATTTTTTTCAGTTCTTAAAGATGATTAAATATTAATGATTGCATTTTAGCATTGGAATTAAAAATCTTAACAGTTCATTGAACATAGTCAAGCTCTGTGTTCATGAATTCTTTATTGGTGGAGATGGGGTTTCAAAGCTGTACTTGCTATCATTTTTAGGGGGTGCTGAACAATTTTTTTCACTATCATGTACAAAATGTAGCCTCTCTCTCATTGGCATCTACACATGTAAAATATAACACCAGGTAATGACATTGGTCTCTTAGAAGGATCATTTTCTCTATCCTTGAAAGATCCTTAACATTTTTACATTTCTTTATAGTTAAAAATACTTTTTTTTTTTTGGTCTTTTTGAGACAGGGTGTCCCTGTAGCTCCAGCTGTCCTGGAACTCAAGACCAGGCTGGCCTTGAACTCACAGAGATCCACCTGCCTCTGCCTCCTGAGTGCTGGGATTAAAGGTGTGTGCCACTACCCCCAGATAAAAATACATTAATATTTTTTGTCTTTAAAATGCTACATTGCCATCTTTGCGCTTTGTTTTTGTAATTTTAACTGGAGAAAGATCTACTGTTTTATTATGTTAATATTCTAATAATGTGAACATCAGCTTTTTTCAAGATTTAATTTAAATGTTTTGCCTGCATGTATATAAGTGCACCATGTGCATACATGCCCATGGGCCAGAAGAGGGTGTCAGATCCTCTGGAACTGGAGTTAATGATAATTGTTAGCCCTCCATGTGGGTCTGAGAACTGAACACTGGTCCTCTGGCAGGAGCAGTCTGTACTCTTAACCATTGACCCATTTCTCTAGTCCTATTAGCATCAACTTTTGACTGTTGAGCTTAGGAAATAT